TAGCAAGTAAAGAGTGAAGTTGCCCTGTCATCCCACTGGTGCTCAGGAGTGGTTTAACTCCCTCCCTGCTCCTGTGTGTCCTCCAAAAACTTCGACTCTTTCCCAAGAGAGGGACTTTTGACTTGGTTCTAGACAGAAGTAACCAGATTTCAGAAACAAAAATCATTCTTTCCATGGTCCAGTTGTAATCTTGCTTAGGGTTTTGGGGTTTTTTTAACAGGGGAGTGGGGAGAGATGGAAATATCAGAAAATACCTTTCAAATAATGATTTTTTTAAAAAAATTATCTCTTAAATGGGTCATAATTAGAATTTAATGGTTAGGCTGTAGATGTATGTATTATTCCCCCTGAAAAATGAAAATTTAAATTCAAATCATCTAATAAAATGCCTTATTTTGTATTTCTCACTTCTGAACCAAGGAAATGCCCAAGAATATCATAATTGTCTTATGTTCTATTGCTTTAAAATAAAGTGAAACTTTCTGTGGTTGAAAAATAGTACAAAGCAGTCCAGATGGGTTAACTGAGACAAATAAAATATTTGACTAATGGCAAAAAGCATTGCCTCTAGCTACTAGTGTTCTGATTATGTAACACCTACATTAGTTTTTTTTTTTTTTTTGGTTCATGTGAAAACATGGGAATGATTTAGGCCTGAAGATAGCGCTAACTGTGGGAAAGGACCAGAAAAGCAATGATCGTGTCCAAGTCCCTGCTCTGTGATGACTAAGATATATAACCTTATATCCACCAGTTTAGTGCTCTACGTAGCACTGAAACTCATCCAGCCTAGTGGGGCATACACCCTAATTAGACAGTAGCAGTGCCCCCTACAGGAATCACCTGCAAATCCCAAATATTTTATTTAGTTAATTTATATATATATGTAAATATATATATGTATATAAGACTTCCCAGGTAGTGGAATAGTAAAGAATCTGCCTGCCAAATGCAGGAGATGCAGGAGACTCAATCCCTGGGTTGAGATTGAATCCCTGGGATTCAATCCCTGGGTCGGGAAGATCCCCTGCAGAAGGAAATCCATGGACAGAGGAGACTAGTGGTCTATATATTGTCCATGGGGTCGCAAAGAGTCGGACATGACTTAGGGACTAAACAACTGCTCTGGACAATCTGGACCATTTATTTCTTTTCCAAGCTCTGGATGGCCCATTCCCAATTTCCTGTTGACCACGAAAAATGAGAACCTAGCCTCTCATCTGCAACACCTATGGCTAAGGGGAAAAACTGTTCTTAAATTTCCAGTTGAGAGGTTATGCAGAGGGGCATGATCACAGGTCTTTGATCACTCAGCAAATCACAGAACCTGTAACAGATTCCAGAAAGGAATCATAGGAAAGTACTCAGTCCTATAACTTGGGCAGCCTCAAAATGAAACTGGAATCATTTTCCATATTTATTGTAGGCAATCAAGTAACAGACTTTTTTTTTAAACTTTTTCAACCAATTATGAAAGATGGTAAGCATGTAGTTTTCTTGGGATACTTTGGATAAGGTCTTAAATAAGCATGATTGGTTCTAAAGTCAGGTAGATCCCCATTCCATGTTTTACATTTTTTAAAAAATAAAGCAGGAAATTGCTTCAATAAAATTCCTGGAAGAAAATCAAATATTTTCAAACCCTTCAGAGGAAAGGAATTTTTGTAAAATTAAAACTTGCCAAAGGGAGAAAAAAGCAAGTAATAGGTAATCCTTAAAATCTCAAAGAGGAAAACAAACAAACAAAAAAACCCAGCTATAATGCCTTTATCCATACCATCATACACCATGATTCAACTCGCCTTCCACTGAGTCATTTATCATTCGTACCTGGGCCCACACCAGGATTCTCTCTCACCTCCTACATGACAGGAGTCCAAAGGAGGAGAGAAGACAGCTTCTTATCTGCCTCTTTTGGCTGGGGAGAGCATTTTGGCTGTCACTTGCAGCTCTGCTTCCAAGCCAAAAGTAACTGGGGAAGTGCCTAGCTGTTTTATCTTTTTTAAAAAAATTTTATTGCTATTTTTGGCTATGCAGCGTGGCATGTGGGATCTTAGTTTCCTAACCAAGGATCAAACTTGTTCCCACCTCCCTACCCCTGGCATTGGAAGCATGGAGTCCTAGACACTGAGGTCCCTGGTTTTATTTTTTTCTGAGGGTGGAGAATGTGATAGGGAAATGCAATTTATTCATGTTTTCCGTGTCTCCCAGGGACTCGTGTAGGGAGGAAGAAAAGGATTCCCTCTATGACTTCTCCAAAGTTCTAAGATGTTTTAAGTAGGAGTCAACTACATTATAATTGAATGACTACTCATTACTATACTTCTTTTCCCTGTTAAAGAAATATAATATTCATTCTTTAAAATGACAGCTGACTGAAGTCATTGTAGTGAATGATTAACTTTGAGTGGATGGTTTAAAGTACTAAAAGAGTTTATATTCAATAAACTTGCTCATAAATCTGTAAGTATTGCCTCTTCTTTCTACCTGCTTCTACATTTCTCTGTATTAATTCTCACATCTTCCCTGGTGGCACAGTGATAAAGATTCCACCTGTCAATGCAGGAGACATGGGTTAGGGCCCTGGGTGGGGAAGATTCCCTGGAGAAGGAAATGGCAACCCACTGCAGTATTCTTGCCTGGGAAATCCCATGGGCAGAGGGGCCTTGCAGGCTACAGTCCATGGGGTCGCAAAGAGTCACACAACTTAGCAACTTAAACAATTATACATTACAGACAACTTGCATTTTCCATTCAACATTATATTTTTGAGATTTATCCATGTTGATATATATCATTTTATTTCTTTCATTTTCATTGCTATATACTATCCACATTCTTCCCACCCAACTCAGTGCTTTTCTGCTTATATAAATGTATAATCCTCCATTTTTAAAATTCATTATTGACTAGAAGTTGAAATAATAAATCGTCAATTTCAATGGCACTTAGTAGAAAATATTAAGAAGCCAGTGAAAGGAGATTTTGAGAACTTCAAGAACCACATTAACAATGTATTCTTTCTTTGGAAAGAAATGTAAGGATTAATACTGTATTTGCATACCAGTTACCAAAAATTTAAGTGAAGTCTATACATGTATTTTTTTTCTATCTATCAACAGAAAATAGCTTTTCTAAGTTTGTCAACTAAAAATGGCCAAAAACATTGTTAAAGGTTTACTTGAGTAAGTAATTATGTTTGCTAAAATATTTGCTACAGAAAATTGTTTGTTTACTTTACAAATTACATTTGCATAGGAGGTTGCTGCTGCTCAATACCTTTCTCATATTTAATCACTGTCACCTGACTGCTAATGTAAAACACTGAACTTTTTTTTACCCCTGCTAAGCCACATGGCCAGTGGGATCTCAGTTCCCCAACCAGGGATTGAACCCCGGCCAACGTGGTGAAATCCTAACCACTGGGCAACCAGGGAACTCCCTAAACTTTTTCTTATTAATGTGGGATATATAATTGATTATAAGGTGTATTTAATAGATAAGGGTATTCCTCTTTGTAACCAAGTAGAAAAATGAATAAGGAACTCAAACAGATTGAATATCCACACAGAATCTCAATTTTCCAGGAAACAATTATACCAACGAACAAAATCATTTTTCCATTTTCTATTGAGATTCATTTAGGTTATTTTTATTTTATTTACTATTACAGTGTTTCTCTGATCATTCTGGTACACATCACCAAGAGCACATGTGAGAGTTTCCATTTCTAGAAATATTCCTAAAAATGGAATTGTTGGGTCACAGGGTATCTTCATCTTTACTGCTACTGCTGCTACTGCTAAGTCACTTCAGTCGTGTCTGACTCTGTGCGCGATTTTGCCAAATTCCTTTTCAAATTGGATCTGCCAATAAACATTGAATATTTAAACACATCCCTTGGTACCCAGATAATCATGATGGTGTGATCACTCATCTAGAGCCAGACATCCTGGAATGTGAAGTCAAGTGTGCCTTAGGAAGGATCACTATGAACAAAGCTAGTGGAGGTGATGGAATTCCAGTTGAGCTATTTCAAATCCTAAAAGATGATGCTGTGAAAGTGCTGCACTCAATATGCCAGCAAATTTGGAAAACTCAGCAGTGGCCACAGGACTGGAAAAGGTCAGTTTTCTTTTCTTTTTTTTTTTTTTAAAGTTCAGTTTTCATTCCAATCCCAAAGAAAAGCAATGCCAAAGAATGCTCAAACTATCACACAGTTGTACTCATCTCACACACTAGCAAAGTAATGCTCAAAATTCTCCAAGCCAGGCTTCAACAGAACGTGAACTATGAACTTCCAGATGTTCAAACTGGATTTAGAAAAGGCAGAGGCACCATAGATCTAATTGCCAACATCCACTGGATCATCAAAAAAGCAAAAGATTTCCAGAAAAACATATATTTCTGCTTTAATGACTATGCCAAAGCCTTTGACTGTGTGGATCACAGCAAACTGTGGAAAATTCTGAAAGAGATGTGAATACTGGACCACCCAACCTGCCTCCTGAGAAATCTGTATGCAAGTCAAAAAGCAACAGTTAGAATTGGATATGAAACAACAGACTGTTTCCAAATCGGCAAAGGAGTACATCAAGGCTGTATATTGTCACCTTGCTTATTTAACTTATATGCAGAATACATTATGAGAAATGCTCAGATGGATGAAGCACAAGCTGGAATCAAAATTGCCCAGAGAAATATCAATAACCTCAGATATGCAGATGACACCACCCTTATCGCAGAAAGTGAAGAACTAAAGAGCCTTTTGATGAAAGTGAAAGAGGAGAGTGAAAAAGTTGGCTTAAAACTCAACATTCAGAAAACTAAGATCATGGTATCTGGTCCCATCATTTCATGGCAAATAAATGGGGAAATAGTGGGAACAGTGGCAGACTATTTTGGGGGGCTCCAAAATCACTGCAGATGGTGACTACAGCCATGAAATTAAAAGATGCTTGTTGCCTTTCATCAGGCGGCAGCCATCAGGGTGAGCCGACATGGGCGCCTACAAGTACATCGAGGAGCTGTGGAGGAAGAAGCAGTCGGACGTGATGCGCTTCCTGCTGCGGGTGCGCTGCTGGCAGTACCGCCAGCTCTCGGCGCTGCACCGCGCCCCGCGCCCCACCAGGCCCGCCAAGGCGCGCAGGCTGGGCTACAAGGCCAAGCAAGGCTATGCCATATACCGGGTCCGTGTGCTCCGCGGGGGCCGCAAACGCCGCGTTCCTAAGGGTGCCACCTACGGCAAGCCTGTCCACCATGTGTCAACCAGCTCAAGTTTGCTCGAAGCCTGCAGTCGGTTGCGGAGGGGCGCGCTGGCAGCCACTGTGGGGCCCTGAGGGTCCTGAATTCCTATTGGGATGGTGAAGATGCTACATACAAATTCTTTGAGATTATCCTCATTGATCCATTCCATAAAGCCATCAGAAGAAACCCTGACACCCAGTGGATCACCAAACCAGTCCACAAGCACAGGGGGATGCGGGGGCTGACGTCTGCAGGCAGAAAGAGCCGCGGCCGGGGCAAGGGCCACAAGTTCCACCACACTATCGGCTCTCGTCGTGCGGCTTGGAGAAGGCGCAATGCTCTCCAGCTCCACCGCTACCGCTAATATACGTAATGTTTGTAAAGTTCTTATCTAATAAACAATTTAGGACGTTAAAAAAAAAAAAAAGATGCTTGCTCCTTGGAGGAAAAGTTATGACCAACCTAGACAGTTTATTTAAAAGCAGAGGCATTACTTTGCCATTAAAGGTCTTTCTAGTCAAGGCTATGGTTTTTCCAGTGGTCATGTATGGATGTGAGAGTTGGACTTTAAAGAAAGCTGAGCGCTGAAGAATTGATGCTTTTGAACTGTGCTCTTGGAGAAGACTCTTGAGAGTCCCTTAGACTGCAAGGAGATCCAACCAGTCCATCCTAAAGGAAATCGGTCCTGAATATTCATTGAAAGGACTGATGCTAAAGATGAAACTCCAATACTTCGGCCACCTGATGCAAAGAACTGACTCATTTGAAAAGACCCTGATGCTGGGAAAGATTGAAGGCGGGAGGATAAGGGGACGACAGAGGATGAGATGGTTGGATGGCATCACCGACTCAATGGACAATGAGTTTGTGTAAACTCCGGGAGTTGGTGATGGACAAGGAGGCCTAGTGTGCTGCAGTCCATGGGGTCACAAAGAGTCAGACATGACTGAGCAACTGAACTAAACTGAACTGGTATTGTTAGATTTTTGAAGTTTTTACAAATTTGATAGTATGCATTTTTTGCATATTATTGCTTTTGTTTGCTTTTTTATTGGTTACCTGTAAAGTTGAGAATCTTTTTGTATATATATTAGCCATTCAGCTTCTTTCATCTATGAATTCTTATTCTTTGTGAATTACTGCTGAGGATGTTTCCCTTTTTCTTTTTATTGGTAGAAATTATTGAAATAGCCTAGATTCTTATATCTCTGAAGGTTTTATATCTTGTGGCTTATCTTTTCGCTTTCATTGTGGTTATTTTTATGGTATAGAGGTTTTATATTAATGTAATCAAATGTATCAGTATTTTTCTTCTGCTTTGTAATTTTGTGTCTTGAGGGATCCTTCTCTTTTCTGAAGTCAAAGAAATATTTCCTTACAAAAATTACAGAATTTTTCTTCTCACTTTTAAATTGTTAATCAATCTGGACTTTTTTGAGTGTATGTTGTGAGATAAACTAGTTTTATTTTATTTTTCCATATGGATACTCAGTAGTCCCTGTACCACTTACTAAAGAGTTCATCATTTCCCCAGCGATTTCAAACCAAACATAACACTCCTATTCAGATATGTGTAGGCTTATTTCTCAGTTGCCTATTCTTTTTCACTGCTGTTTGTTCATCTCTTTAGCTATTGCTGTTAGTCGCTCAGTCATTCTAGAGAGGATCATCATTTCCTTCTCCACTATTCAGCTATACCAACTACTAATACTTTCATTGCTATAGCTTTATAAGTTTTGATATCTAGTAAACAACCACACAACTACCTTCATTTTTCACCATACATTTTTAGCCATATGTTTATATTACACTGAAAGCTATGGAAACTTGACTAGACAGAACTCATCCATACAAAGATAATCCACACAGTCCAGATGATGGCCAGTTGCGTGCACTAAGAGCATGAGAAGTTCTGCTTCCAATTAATGCTGAGTTATGAGGAAATTGACTTTCAGGGAGAAGCAAAAAATACTACAGTAACCAAAATAGCCAAGAGGTAAAAAAGGGTCAGATGAACTCTGCTTCACTACTGCTGTTTTCATGGATGGATCTTTTGAAGTGAGTTTTTGTTGGACGAGAAATGTTTTTACAAAAACTTTTATAAGTTCCCAGATCAACTTTATTATACTGACTTGATTTTTGAATGAATTTCAAGGAATAATATGAAGATATTGGGCATTTCTGTTCAACTTTTCCCCTTCAGGACAGAGACAGTCATTGTTGTGGAGTCACATTGAAATACTTGGGAAACAATCTCTTCAGGAACAGTGGAGCTAAAGTAATGTGAGGTGGCACATGTAATTGCACTGGAATCTGCCTGCAGCTACAGTTCTCATGTAAATTGATTAACATGGTAATGCTTGTTCCAAAGCTGAAAAGTCTTCCCAGAGCACCATTGAACCAAAAGCCTGTGCTTGCTCTCTCTAGACTGTCAAGAAAGGAAGGAAGGAAAAGGTCTGGATGGAAACCTTAGCAAGATATCTATGAAGTAATGTTTTCTTAAAAAAAAAAAGGTGCAAATGGGATGAAAATTCCATTCAAAATGACAAGTGGGCTTGGTACTAAAAAAAGAAGAATATAGGCTGATTTCTTTACCCTAAATAAAAAAGTAAATATATATATATATATATATATATATACATATACATATATGTATTTACAACTGGGGATTTCTTCAGTTGATTTTCCAAATAATCTGAGAAAATTCTGGGTTTACAATCAAAATTATAAATATTTTAATAACATTGGTAATCTGAACTTTTCTCAAGATTTACCTCTTGGAATATATTTATGTTGAATTTTATAAAAAATGCCATTTTGGTAGGTCAAGAATGGCCAAAGATCAGCAGTTTCATAGAGGCAACTCTACAAAACAGGCCAAACTCTGTGAGCATCATGATTTCATTCACTAAACACTTACTGAGGGCCTTAATATGATCTTTCATCACAGGCAACTTCCAGTCTCTTCAGAGGTTCCCAAATATAAACAAATGACTGAAAAACAAAATGATAAGTGCAATAATAGAGTGAGGTATGTACATGCGTGCTATGTAGCTTCAGTTGTGTCTGACTCTTTGCCACCCTATGGATCAGAGTTCACCAGGCTACTCTGTTCATGGTATTCTCCAGGCAAGAATATTGGAGTGAGTTGCCATGCCCTCCTCAGGGGATCTTCCCTGTATTGGCAGGCGGTTTTTTTTTTTTTACCACCAGTGCCACCTGGGAAGCTGCAGAGTGAGGTATAGACTGACACAGAAGGTGTGGTGGTTTCAGCTCAGTCAGGTGAGGAAAAGTGTTGCAGAACAGATAATGTTTGAACCGAGTAATCAGAAAGAAGTTGAGCCAGCTGAGGGGTTGGGAGAGTCTTTCCATTTGCAGTGAACTACGTGTAGTTTGAGGCAAAATACAAGATAGCAAGTTCAAGCAACGATACTGCTAAATCATTGAGGCTGTTTGGGTCATGGGAGAGGGGAGGTGGCTGGAAGCTGTAGGAAAATAGGAGTAAAGACAAAAAAATAAAATTGAAGAGAGATTGAATAGTTGTGGTTTGTGGAGGGCCCTAAATGTCATACTATAAAATAAGAATTTTGACTTCAAAGTAATCACAAATTCAAATGTCCTCAATCAGATATTGGTGGACTAGCGAAGAGTTTAAATTGAGAGATAACATGATCAACTAACCATTTTAGAAAAATAACAGTTAACTGACCAATATGGAGATTTGCTAAGAGGCTGCAGGTATAAGGAATTGAACTAAGGTGACAATTTCAAGAGAGTTTGCAGATGAAATGGACTGGGAGGAGGTAGAGATGTGATGGTGATAAATTTGTAAAAAAGCTTAATTTCAGAATATTTTGTTACTCTTTGAGTTCTTATAAAACATTTTATTTTCCTTACTGAAAGTTCCATATAAAAATCACTGCAGTATTAATTCAATCAATTATCATCTAAATATGGGTTTTAATAATCATTTTAATTGGTCATTCTATTTGTTTTTGTTGTTGTTCACATTGCCTGTCTTGCGGTATCTTAATTCTATAACCAGGGACTGAACACTCACCCTCAGCAGTGAAAGCTCAGAGTCCTAACCACTGGACCACTAGGGAATTCCTCCTAAATGCTAATTTTCTCTTTACTCTCCTCCTATAACCTAGAAAGCACTCCATATGACTTAATCTCAGAAAATAAAGGTTAAGTTTTTAAGGTTAAGTTTAATCACTAATAGGGGCAATGAATATTTAAAATTATATATCCATGTGAAAAAGTCAAATAATAATGCTTAACTTTCTAAATTCCTCCAGCTTATTCACTAAAAACTTACCCCCAAAGTTAAAATAAATACTTTTTTTTTCTAGAAATTTCTTTAGAGGAATTTTTAACTGAGGGAAAACATTGTATGATGTGCTTTATTATAAAGGACAGTGTTGCCTCTGGTCAACAGATGCTCTCTGACAGACTAATACTTGGCACAGAAACTACTAACACATCCAGAAACTAATCTTCTTTGAATTCAGCTTCAACTCTCAAAAGCTGGCTGTGGAATACACTGTACTTTGTAATAGAAAATTCACATTTTGAAACACTGGACAGAGTATTTACCTCAGATCCACTGTTCAAGACTGCTCCATACATTTCTTTCAACAGTTAAACTAATATTTAAATTTCATGAGCATGTCATTGATTAGAATGTGTATTACATTTTCCTAAACTTACTCTTCCTTTATATCTCTCTCTTCATCAAAGAGAAGTAACTTGGTTGTCTGATTTTGATGCCAATTTTTATCTTTTGCAGTGGGTTTTCCATTTTAGGCCCCACACCCTATATTTCTCCCATTTTGACTTTTTCTTTAGATGCATCTTTTTGTTCTATTAAAATCAGTCAATGGTCTGATCATTAAAATGCTGCTTATAGAATACCATTGTTAAACTTTCATTACACGGGTTGTTAAAGTAAAAAAAAAGTTAATAAAATATAGGTTGCTGTTAGACTTGAAAAGATTATTTTCAATAAATATTGAGTTTTAAAAGAAAAAAAAATCCTCTGTGTACAGTCACATTTGGCATTTAGTAGTTCTAAAAAAAATTTTCAGAAAAGGCAACAGCTGGCCAGGAGGTTAAGCCAGATCAATTCTGTATCTGCTGGGCACAGCTAGTTCTTTCTTCATCCTGGTTAAGGAATGTGAAATGCAACATATGAAAGCTGGGCTGCACCAAATTCAAAATTTTATTTCCTAGTATCTTAACTACACCTCTGCTTAAACTGCTCCAGATTCACGGCTTAACACACAGCCAGTTTTTTTGCTCACAATTTTGAGGACCCGCAGTTTGGTCTGTGTTCAGCTGGGTGGTTCTTATCTGGTTTTG